GTTTTTGTGAGAGAACCACAGAGTCCAGAAGAGGCAGGCTCTCCGAAGTCACTGGTCATCCGTAGAAGCTATGTGTCACAGCAGTTTTAGGAAGATTTTCCAGAATGCCAGCTTATTTAGGTTATAGAGATATGATCTTGTTCTCTAAGCAGAGAATGTCTCCAGGACCAAACACAGACGCATCTGAGCCCAGGTTAGCAAACCAGGCAGTAAACAGCAGGGCAGTGAAGTCAGCAGCCTGGGATGGAGAAGGAATAAAGGAAGTTTGTGAGGGCCCAGGCAGACATTATATTTGTGGTGTCGTTTTTGAGACCATCTGAGACCATCCGTTTTCCCAACCTGGTAGTTTCATTATGGCCCAGAAATGAAAATTATTTTGCTTAAAAAATAAATAAATAAGCAAGTGGGGCACCTGGGTGGCTCAGTGGATTAAACCGTTGCCTTCGGCTTGGGTCGTGATCTTGGGGTCCTGGGATCGAGCCCCACGTTGGGCTCTCTGCTCAGCAGGGAGCCTGTTTCCCCCTCTCTGTCTCTGCCTGCCTCTTTGCCTACTTGTGATCTCTGCCTGTCAAATAAATAAATAAAATCTTAAAAAAAAAAAACCAAGAGAAAAGCCTGGGTGAAAGAACATATTCATTAATAATTCAGTTAATATAATTTAATTATATTTTATTGTTTAAGGATTTTATTTATTTGAGAGAGGGAAAGAGAGCACGAGCAGGGGGGAACAGCAGAGAGAGAGGGAGAAGCAGACTCCCCACTGAGCAGGGGGCCCGATGTGGGGCTTGATCCCAGGACTCTGAGATCATGACCTGAGCTGAAGGCAGATGATTAACTGACTAAGCCACCCAGGCACCCCATTTAATTCTACTTTTTAAAATTAAAAGCCTTCTCGAAAAGTTTTTGAAGTTTTTTCTGAGCTGAGCTATTCACTTCAAGGCTGAGCACCAGCCCTCTGGATCTTGCCAGGCTTCCCTGTGCCTTTGAGCCTAAACCTAGACTTTCCTGCCACCTGGAATGTCCCAGAGAACGCAGACTAGCCTGTTGTCTCAAATCAGCTGAGCCTTTTTTTTCCTCCAGGAAGCCTCCTCTGCCTCTTCACAGAGTGGGAATTCCCTCTTTGACGGACCTCCTAGTCCAGTGGTTCTCAGTCAGGAGCCCTTTTGCTCTCATGGGGACACTTGAGAATGTTGGGAACATCCATGGTTGTCACAATGTGATGATGGGGTGTGCTCCTGGGTGCTGGTGAGTCTGGAGACCAGAGAACGGGCCAAACATCCTCCAGGGGCCAGGATGGTCCCTGCACCCCAAAGAATTTTCCAGCCCCAAACGTCAGTAGCGCCAAGGTTGAGAAACCCTGCCCTAGGCTAACATTTACCACGTTACCATAAGGTGACCATAGCCCTTAGCTTCCAGTCTTGCCTCCACCCGCTGAGGGGCAGAAATGTTCCGTTGGTGCTGGTGCTCTCAGCCCGGTGCGAGTGTGAAATGAAACTGGAATGTTCTTAACAGTCTTTGTTGCCTTGATCCCTGTAGTTAAGATCACATCTCAGGTGGAACTCAGAGGAGTGATGCATAGATATTATTTAATAAACTACAATTGTCTCAAATGCACAATTGTTTTAAATTAGATTTAAAAAGCTGACCCCACACAGCAATGACAACTGCTTCCCCTCTTTGCTTCGGTGTCTGCTGTAGGCGTACCCATTCCTGTTGAGGACCAAGAGTGTTGTTTCCCTCGTCTCTGTAGCTCCCTGACACTGTTTCAGTTTCTCCTGGGTGCTAGACCTAGCTGTCATCACTTCCAGGAATCCTATCCTCATTACAGTTTGTGCTCAAAATAGTAACGGCCATCCACTGAGCAATTTGTAGGTGCCAAGGGCTGCTCTAAGCACTTTTCATGCATGGGTTAATTGAATTCTCCTCATACCCCATGACACAGATGTGATTACTATCCCCATTACCCAGATGAGGGAACTGAGGCACAGAGAGGTTAAATGATTTGTTTAGGTTTCCACAGCTAGTAGGTGGCGGGCGGTCTGACTCTGAGTTTATGACCTGAACTATGATAAGCTTAGATCCTTTCTCATACCATCCAGCAGAACACATTCCAGATCATGATTCGAGACCTGATTGTAAAACACAAAACATTACCACTTTAGAGGAAATACAGGAAAACATATTTACAATTTCAGGATAGGGAGGACTTCTTAAACAACATTCAAAGGGCACAAATGATGATGGAAAAGCCCACAATTTTGACCACACAAAAGCTAAAACGTTTGCAGAACACTATAAACAAAGCTAAAGGACTGGGCTAGGCCCAGACAGCTGCAGCATACAGGCGAGATAAGGGCTTGGCATGAGACTCTGCGGAGGTGACCAGCCTCAGTAAGAAGAAGCCCCCAGGGGAGCAGTGTGGGCCGTGGAGGGAAGAAGAGGAAAATTGCCTGGCCAGTAAACACAAAGCGATCCCCACGTTCCCTCGCAATCCGGGAAATGAAAGTCAAAATAACCACAAGAAGGGCTGCAGCATTTCTCACCCATCGGATGGGCAGAAAGCAGAATGTGTCACCCTCCCGACTCCTGGGGAGGAGTCCGATGGCGGAGCGCGGCTGCGAGCTGTCCAGCCAACCCACCTCCTCTGCAGGCCCCAGGCCACTGCTGCGAATTCCTCCAGGCCATGTTAGCTTCTGGAGAAAACTCGATACAGAGCAAGACTGTTCTCAGCGCTCCCTGAAGCTGTGGAGAGAGGGGAGGCCACTAGGCCCTGGGGCCCTGCCCTCGGTCCATCGCCTAAGCCTCCCCAGGCCACCGGGTCATCTCTCTGCACGCTTGAGCGCCCCTCCCGGAGAAGGGTCTGTCCTCACACTTAGGATCCCCTGGCTCAACACCTGTGGGCCCTTCCTGAAAGCACAGACCTCCTCCTCCTCACCCGAGGGCCAGAGTAGGGCAGGTGCAAGGCCAGGGTAAGCAGAGTAGAGGAGTGGAGGGTGCCAGGCCTGCCCTCCCACCCTTGTCACCCTTGTCAGGGCGCTCCTGGCTTCTGAGAGCTGTCGCCACCTGCCCTGTCCCCTCTGCTGTCTCATTTCTGTCTGTCGTGAACACAGGCTAGTTTTGGGTCAGTGACATCCTCATGAAGATCCTTACCTCGGGTAGACCCTATTTCTCTTTCACTTGGGAATAAGCAGCCTGAACCATGGCTTCATCCTTTCGGCACCTCGAGTTGGGCAACTAAGTCATTTTAGCTGTAGAGGACTCAGCCCAGGTTCCTCCGGATCCAATACCATCACAGGCCCATACGGTTGGGGGTCCTTTTCTTAGACAGAGGAATCACAATTTTTCTCATCTATATAATGTCTCCAAGATTTCAGACACAGAATTCTGGGGCCTGTGCCTGATTGGTCGAGCAGGTTCAAACGTCTTTCTTTCCGTGGTGGGGGCGCCTCCGGTCCCTCTCCCCGGCACAGGCACTACTCTCCTGGGGTTGAACACAAATAGGGATCCTTGTTTCATTGCCCAGGCTGAGTTGGTGGTCTGTGCACAGCAGGGTGGCCCTCGGCCCGATTCTCAGAGAATTCCCTCCTGGGTTGGCCTCCCCCCCATGACCTCTGAGCTTCTATAGGACTTGAATAGAAAATACCGTCTCATATGTTACTCAGCATAAGGATTTTTAGATTTTTCCTAAAATGTAATACCAGGAAAATGTTTCTTTCATGGGGAAAGCCTGCATGCTTTATTCAGGATCTGACAGCGGAGATGCCCCTGGTCACAGTGTAGAGAGAGTTCTTGGGGAGCTCTGGGGTCCTGGATTTCAGTCCTGACCCAACCCTTACTGAGTGAACTCGGGCAGTTGAGTTACCCTTTCTCACCCCAATGATCCTGTCTCAAAGCGGGAATAATGACCGCGAGGCCATCAGTGGTTGTGGGGCTAGAACGTGGCAATGGAAGGCTCCCAGTACAGTACTAACCCAGCCGTGGTTGTCCTTAGGAAGGCCGTTGTGCCAGGAAACTCAAAGCTGGAGCTAGTGCCCAGAGGAAGTGACTCTTTAAACTTAGGTTCTGATACCATGTTCGATTTTGTTCTAATCATTCTAAGTCATCTCTACCCTCAGCGTGGGGCTAGAACCTCTAGCCCCAAGATCAAGGATCATGGGATCTACCGACTGAGCCAGCCAGGCACCCCCTGTTCTAATCATATCTGATTGTACTTTGGTGGCAATGATTCCATTCCATCCATGTTTTAGTATTCTAGACTGCCTCACATCTTCCGTGGGAGACAGAAGGGGGATAAAGAAAGAAGAGTAGTAGGGGCGCCTGGGTGGCTCAGTTGGTTAAGCATCTGCCTTCAGCTCAGGTCAGATCCTGGGGTCCTAGGATCGAGCCCCACACCAGGGTCTCTGCTTGGTGGGGTGTCTGTCTGTCCCTCTCCCTCTGTTCCTCCCCCTACTTGCTCTGTCTCTGTCTCTCGGATAAATAAATAAAATCTTTTAAAAAAGAAAAAGAAGAGCAGCAAATTCTAGTCAACTTGTGCCATTCCTGAACTCTCAGATTCTAAACCCAGTTTGACCAACTTGTCCACTGGGTGTCCTCAGGCAAGTCACTTTAGAGACCTGTCACTGTTGGGAGGTGGAGGTGGGCCAATTGTGGTGCCTGTTTTCTGCTCTCACTCTGACCCCATCGGGCCTCCCCCAATGCAGGAAACAGATGCAAAGTTCAGGGTGTGCTGCTCCTGGCTGCTTGGCAGATGCCCTTGTCAGGTGGGCCCCCGGGCAGGCTCCCAGCTCCGTGGCTGGAGAAGCTGGCGCCGCCCCATCCAGAGCCACATCGTGGACACTCCCCATCCTGATGCAGACGGAGGCCCATCCCCTGAGCCTGAAGGCTTCTGTGACTCATGTGGGACTCTGACATTGGGGCCAGGGTCCTTCTCTGCGCCCAGGCGCCTGGGCACCCCGAGCTGGTAGGCATTCCTGTTCTCTCCTGGACGCTCGTCACTCCTGCACGCTTTAGTTCTGTGAAGTCAAGAGCACTACCCCTCCTGGGGAGCACCTCGGAGCAGATGCTGAAGGCCTGAGTGGAAACGTGGAGCGGAAACTGTGAGCGCGTTTGTTCTCTGAGTCTCTCCTGGCTTTCCTGTGCAGCCTGCCCGTGCCCTCAGAGAGATTGTTTTGCATGTGGTTGTTAAACTTTGATTCGGTGACTCATGCTGGGGTGAAGGCTTCACATCTGCCTCCCTCATTTGATTGCTTTCTTCTTTTCCTTTTTTTTTTTTTTTAAAGCTCAAAGCAAAACTACCTTGGCAGCTGACCATGACTCTGGCGTCCAGGAAGGGGAGCTTTGGCGTGAAGTGCCTCCTGATGGCTGTGTGGCCCAGCCGGGCTGTGCTCCCCCAGCTCCAGTGACGCCTGGCTAACTGGGAGGACAGCCGGGGTGCAGAGGGGAACTTGAGCCCACCGTGGGGGCTGGAGCTACGCGTTCTGCAGGTGAGTGCCTGACCCAGCCATCAGTCATTGTGACAGGCCCCTTGAAGACTCCGGTCCAGGGGCGGAGGAGACAGTACTGGGGACAGCGGGCAGGTTGGAGGGCTGTTCTTGGATTAGCATTATTTTGAGCGATTTGATTTCCTGTGTCTTACATGATGTTCAGTATGCAGATAAAAAAAAATTAGATGAAATCCTTGCTCATTTTAGCACAATTATATTTAATTTCAAGAGGGCTTTCATAGGAGAAAGATTAATTGGAGGAACTCTTCAGTTTAAGGAAAAACTCCCTCTGGGATCTTTTTATTTTTTTTTTTTAATTTTTATTAAGATTTTATTTGTTTATTTGACAAAGAGAGAGAGAGATCATGAGTCGGCAGAGAGGCAGGCAGAGAGAGAGTGGGAAGCAGGCTCCCCTCTGAGCAGAGAGCCCGATGTGGGGCTCATTCCTAGGACCCTGAGATCATTACCTGAGCAGAAGGCAGAGGCTTAACCCACTGAGCCACCCAGCTGCCCATCCTGCTGGGATCTTTGAAGATATTTTAATTTTATGAAATCAGAAGGTCTAGAACTCTCAGGCACATTTTCAACCTGTCTCAAGGCTCTTGAAAGCATGTCTTAGACTAGATACTGATTTGTGAGTGTCTAGTTTCCTGGCTGATCAGGAAGATCTGGGAGCAGCCCCAAGCCCCATCTCCCCTTAAAGGATGGCTCTGTGGTCTTTGAGAAGGCCCATGAGGATATGGAAATAAATCGTAATGGCTGGCACTGAAGACAATTTTAGCTAATTCCCTGTGGCTATGAGAAACCTTAGCCATGCCTCTGGGATTATGAAGTGGCCTCCAAGTCCAGGTGATGCCAGCCCAGGAGCTCGGACACCTGACGCGGGAGTACGGTGCGTGTGGAAGATAGTAGAGGGTGGTTTTTGGAAAAACTTGGTTCAGAGCTGCCCTGGGTTATGGATCAGGGCTTGTATGTATATACTTGTGTGTCTATCCAAAGTAACTTGTAGCAGTACAGAAGGGAAAGGGACAAGTTCAAGGAGAAAACAAAAGGCCAGCCCACCCAGGCTCACAGCAGCGCTACTCACAATGGCCAAAAGGTGGCAGCGCCCCAAGCGTCCATCCACAGGTGAATGGAGAAACACAAGGTGGTCTCTATACACGATGGAAAATTATTCAGCCTTAAAAAGGAAGAAAACTCTGACATATGCTTGCAACAGAGTGAACCTGGAAAACATTATGCTGAATGAAATAAACCAGTTAGAAAAGGACATACTGTATGATTACACTTCTAAAAGTCACCCAGAGTAGTCAGAGTCATAGAGACAGAGTAGCTGTGGTTCCCAGAGGCAGGCGGGGGAGAGAGGGTGGGGTGTTAGTGTCTAATGGGGACAGGGTTTCAGTCTTACGAGATGAGAAAGTTCTGGAAATGGATGGTGGGTGATGGTTGCTTCATGCCACTGAACTGCACTCCTAGAAATAGTTCCTATGGTAAATTTTATGTTATGTATAATTTACCACAATTTTTGTAAAAAAAATTATAATACCCTTTAAAAATCCCCCAAAATCCAGGCCCAGAACACAAATCTTGTGGGCTGATGTTTTTGCCTTTCTGTGACTTCCCCAAAATCTAACTGACGACTCCACTGACCTGAGCTGAACTAGAACACTGCACAGACTGTGTTCACAAGAGCTTTGTCCTCACCATGGGGGTGACTTCTGGTGGTTGTAATGTGCTGGACTGGTCTGGGGCTCACAGAGGTGAACGGAAACGCATTTGAGGGTCAAGGGCAATGTGATGAATGCACACACCCCGGGGCCCATGGGCTTGCCTTGTTCTGTGGCCCCCTGAGCAGCCCCGGGCAGCACCCTCTGGGCCAGGCCGTAACAGGAATCACTACCCTTGGGAGTCTAGTCCCTTCCATTTATTAGCTGCAGGACCTTGGGTAAGCTGGCAAGACCTCTCTTTTCTTTAGTTTTCTTACTTGCAGCATGAATCATGAGGTAGCCTGTTTCCGTCTCCCACAGAGGTCAAGATCTCCAAAGTTAACATGTAAGAAAACACCTTTTCACTATAAAACACTGGGTGCCTGTGAGCTGCTGGCTCTCTTTGCGTCTGATCTCTCTAACATCCCCTCCTTCTCTCCTTCTTCAGTTACTTGTGCATTCTCCTCCTCACGGGCTCTTCCAGTCAGAGGTTAAGGACCTCAGCCTGGGCTGGCTGACTCTGGGAGGAACAGGTCTGCTCTGATTCCCATCCTTAGAAAGTTCTCCCACTCCTCCCTCCCTCTTCCTTCCTTCCTTTCCTGCTCTTTTGTGAGTCCACCTCCAAAGCTGGATTCAACGCGAATCCATCTCCGTGGCTGCCTTGACCATGAACTGCAGGGAAGTGCTGGGAGCACCATAAGAGCTCCCGAGGAGACTGAAGATTTTCACACTGTTACTGATTAATCATCTGTGCTGTTTGTGACTTCCAGTCAAGCTTGAGGAAGAAAACTGAAATGAAATTGTTCATACTTTCAGGACTTAAAAATAGAAAGGGGTAAGAAGCTGCTGACAGTGTTGTAGCTCAAAGACTGGAGCATCTCAAGGGGAGGGTGGCCTGAGGGCCAGGGGAGGCTCCTGAGGACAGACGCCACCACCCGCCTTCGCGCCCACCTCACGTTTCTTATTTAGAAATTTTAAAAGGAAATGAAGTTGGTTTTAAAATCTCAAGGGGGCAGAGAAAGCCTCTGAAGTAGGTGGATTCTTTCAGTTAATTTTCTGTGAAAACAGCTGCCTGTCCCACGCATAACCTTTCCTTAGAAAAGGGGCTCTTTTGGGGCGCCTGGCTGGCTCAGTGGCTGGAGCATGCAACTCTTGATCTCGGGGCTGTGGGTTCGAGCCCCACGTTGGGTGTGGAGATTACTTCCAAAAAATAAAATCTTAAAAAAAAAGTGAGAAGAAAATGAACTCTTTTGGAACCTATGGGTGCTGTGGAGAGCTGCTGAGGACGGGGCCTCAATATGGCCGCTCTCATTCCCCCAGCCCAGGTAAAAGCCCCAGGTCTCTTCCTTTTGAAAATGTTTATGATGCTGTCATACCAGACCACAGAGTTCTAAAACAAGCATGGACTCTCCTTGCAGCTCTTACTTTGTGACTAAAGAGAAGTCACCCAGCTCAGCTATATTTTGTTTTTTCCATTTCTGTAGTAGTAAGATATTACTTCCATCTTGAACACAACTCTAAGTAACATGTCACTTTTGGCATTTACATATTGTCAGTCTCTGCCTCTTACTATATAACCTTGACCCTGGGCCATTTGGAGCCTTAGTTTCTTCACCTGTGAAAAGGGAAGGCTGTTATCTCTCATCTCCCCCCAGGCGTGATGGGAAGTTGAAGGAAGAGTCTGTACACGAAGGTAATGTGGAAACACTGAACACGAACTGCTGTGTTCATGCTGCCTGGGAAGCCTTTTTTCTTTTTCCCTCTCTCTCACTTTCATTCCCTCTCTCTCTTCTGTCTCCCAGCCTTCCTCTCTCTTCTCTTCTCTGTCCTTTGGATCAAAAGAAGTGCCACCTGCACGCATAAGCAGGGAGGCGTGGAGGTGGGGGTGTAGCTGGACTAGCAGGATTGGGAAGGACGGAGATGACAGCGGTCAGGTCTGGGGCAGGAAGGGGCAGGCCTCCGGAAAGAGGGAGGAAGGGTCCGGATGAAACCCATGGGTCTTCCAGGGACAATGAGCAATGCCTGGTGTGAGGCTAGCCTGCTAGGCTGGGTGAGGGTCCTCTTCCTCCATGGAAAGACCAAAGCTGGACCCCAGTCTGAGAGAACTATCATCCCTAGGGGAAGGACTGGTTGCTGGTCAAGGAGCAGAAGGTGAAGATGGACTAGAAGATCATGGCCAAGGGGCTTGGGGAGGGGGCCAGGCCTGGTGGAGAGGGCCGTGACTCTCCTGATCGAGATCTATGACATTTAGTCTGTACAGGATGGAGGGACAGAAATCTTGGTTCGTGGACTGGCTGGATTAGTGTTGTGGTGGGTGGGATTGTGGTGAGGAGGCCTCCCCAGGATCCCTTGGGAGAGATACCACAACTCTTCCCCAACTGGGAAAAGCCAGCTGGTCCTTCATTGTCCAGTTCTGGGCCTTTCTGGCCTTTCCTTTCCCCTCAAAGGAAGATAAGTCCTTCCTCACCTGAGTGTTGTTTTTTTTTTTTTTTAAGATTTTATTTATTTATTTGACAGAGAGAGATCACAAGCAGGCGGAAAGGCAGGCAGAGAGAGAAGAGGAAGCAGGCTCCCTGCTGAGCAGAGAGCTTGGTGAGGGGCTTGATCCCAGGACCCTGAGATCATGACCTGAGCTGAAGGCAGAGGCTTAACCCATCGAGCTACCCAGGCACCCCCTCACCTGAGTTTTGAAAGCACATTTTTTTTTTTCTATTTGAAAGTATTGTGCTTATTGTCATGATTTATGGCTTGTTATTTACATTTTTGGTCTGTTTTCCTGAATAGGTCAAGAACAAATTGAAATTGGACTGTATATTAGTTTTTATGGAACTGGGTCCCAGCACAGTGCCTAGTGCCTAGGAGGTGATCAGGAAGTGTTTATTACATGAATGAATGCATGATGGATGGATGAATGAATGGATGAACTAGGGTGCTGTGATGTAAAGCAGAGGCTGTGCTTGTGAAAAATGTGCAGGAAGTAGAAATTGTCCTGTTGGGTGTAGAAGGGAGGGAAAGGGAAGAGTGAGAGGTGACCTTGAGATTCCTTCTTGGGGTCTGTGGAATGCCATTCAATGAGATGGGGACCCAAGAAAAAATATTTCAGGAGGGAAGATTATTTTCAGCTTTGGGAATTAACTGAAGAAAACTCTGTTGAACTCTCCAATATACTAGCACTGCCAGGTGCTGGTGATTCTGAGGCACATAGGTGGGAATGTAGTTCACAGTTTCTTGAGATACAGATAAATGACACATCAGTGCGTTCTAATAGAGGTGTGAGCAAAGTGTCTGGTAGACAGATGACCAAGCCACTCATTCTGTTTGCGAATTCAGGGCTGATGAGCTGAATCTTGAGGTTTGCCAAACCAACAAGAGCATTCCAGGTAGAGAGGAAAGTATATGCAGAAGCACAGTGATGAGAACCTTCTGGAATGCTTGGGGAGTGGGGAGGGATTCAGCAGGACTCAAAACAAAGGGCCAGGTGGGCCAGTGGTGGGCGGCAGGTGGACCAGGGTCAGCACTGTGTGGGGACAGCTCGCAGGCTGCCCGTGGGAGTCTGGCAGTGAGTTAGGTATGGGATGGAGAAGAGAGGAGTGGGGGGGTGGTGGAAGGGGGGAGGAGGGAGGGGAGGTGGGCAGATGGGGGTGAGAGTGGCCAGGCTGAAGGAGGGAAAGACCCTGTGCCTCTGTCCCGGGGCCTTGGGTGACATGTCTATGTGTCACCTCCATGGAACCATCTTCTTGGAAATACCTACTGGAAAGCTCTGGATTTAAGAAGAAACTTTTGGTTTCAGAACTCCTTTTCACTTTTAATAACTATTGGGGATGCCAAAGAGCTTTCGTTCTTGTGGGGTTCTAGCTATCCATTGATAGGCACCCTATGAGAAACTAAAACTAAGAAATTGAACAATATTCCTTTACCTAAAATAACCATAAATCATTACATTAATATAAATGATGCATTTTTATGAAAAATAACTCTATTTTCCCAAACGAGAAAATGTGTAAGGAGACTGGCACTGATTTACGCTGTGCAAATCTCTAATATGTGGCTTAAAAGAAAGGGGCTGGGTTTGCCTCTCGCCTTCTGCGTTCACTCTGCTGCAACATCACACCACACCTGCTCTCAGGAACACTTACTTCATGGTGTACTGGTAAGGATGAGAGCGGTGGGAAAAAAAAATCAAATAACCTTAGTGTTACTACGAAAACAGTTTTTACTTTGAAGTCTCCATGAAAGGGTCTTAGGCCTTCCCTGAATTTCCACGGACCACACTTAGACAAGCACTGAAGTAGACTCAGCAAATGTTGGGCAAGTGATTCTGAGCTCCCCGGACACTTCATTCAAATAGCACGCATGCCATTTGCCTCACAGATTTATAACGCGGTGCGGGGGGGAGGTGCCTGGTGCTTAGCGAGGTCTCAGCCCGAAGTGCAGCCGTGGACAGCCCTCCCCCTGCCCACGCCCGCTCAGGGTCCGGAGGCTGGTGTGTGTGTGTGTGTGTGTGTGTGTGTGTAAGGGAAATGTAAGGGCAAGTAGGGAGCATGACTGGGAGAGCAGACTGCCTGGGCAGGACCTCATCGTCAAACACATGAGCAGAGACCAAAGAAAGAGCTGGACAGACTTAGAAGACTCAGGCCAAGTTGTAGGGCGTCAGGGAGAAGAGTTTCAGGGAGAGGTGGTCCAAAATGTTTTCCAAATGTTTTGATTTAAAATGATATGCGAGGGTGTGGTCCCGAGCCGTTGAGAGCAGAGGAGAGTTTGCCTAAGGCCCTGGAAGCTGTTGTTGGATTCAGCTGCGGAAGCCCTATTCCTGCCAGAGCCGGTGGGGGGCCGTTGAGTTGGGGCTCCAGCCTCAGCGGAGTGGCCCTGCAGAGAACGGGGAGCCCCGCTGAGAACCTGGTAGGAAGTCGTGGTTGCTGCCAAGGTGTGGGCAGGAGACTAGGGAGGGGAGGTAGGGCACCTGTGCTGCTGGGAAGAGGGCAGGTGACAGGTTGGATGCGTTCAGGGGTGCGCTGAGCCTGATCTGTAACAGGGGCAAAGGGAAGGCAAGCTCTGCTTCCATCATCTAGCAGACGGTTACTCACCACGTTCACTGGGCAAATCTGCATGGAGAGTCCGCTGGGCCAGGCGCTGTCCTTGATGCAGGGGATACAGCAAACCCCGGAACAGATATACTGGCACAGAAAGGGTTCCCAGATGCATTTTTAATAAGAAAAGCAAGTGGCTGAATACTCATCTATTTATGGAAAAACAACCCCACTAAGACAGTGTATATGTGGATCTATTGGATCCGCAAGCCAGGACATCGGAAAAGCATGGGAAGGATACAAAGAGCATGAGAGGCAAGTGGGATTTGGAGTTTGTAGGAAGAGGCATTGTATCTTTTTATTCTTTTTGCTTGAGCATTGTTTCATTTTTCTTCATAGGAACTATAATTTTATGACCCTTTCTTTTTTAAGATATACTTATTTTAGAAAGAGAGCGTGCACACAGTGGCGGGGGGAGGGGCAGTGGGAAGGGGGGCGACAGACTCCCCACTGAGCGCAGAGCTGGCTTCAATCTCAAGACCCTGAGATCATGCATGACCTGAGCAGAAACCAAGAGTCCAAGGCTTAACGGACTGAGTCACCTAGCCGTCCCTAACTCTCCTCTTCTTATAAGGACACTATTAAAATTGGATCAGGGATCACCCTAATGACCTCATTTTAACTTAATCAACTCTTATTTTAACTTAATCAACAGAGTCACAATCTGAGGGACTGGGAGATAGGGCTTCAGCGTATGAATTTGGGGGGTGGGGCTGCTGTTCAGCGCAGGACGGAGTGACGGAGCCTCAGGAACATTCCTCTGGCCTGTCCGTGCACAAATGTTCCCAGCCCTGGGTGGTCTGCTCAGCTGCCCTCGGTGTCTCTGACCAGAGGTTCCTTGGGGGGGGGGGGGGGGGGGTCCGGGGGGGGGGGCGCTGAAGCCCTCAGAGGTGCTCTAGTAAAAGCAGCACGATTGCATCTGCAGCTCCCCAACCACACTGAGCAACCGAAAATCCCCAAGGGGACCAGGCAACATGATTTCCTGACAGATAAGGCGGGGAGGGAGTGTGCAGAATTTGCCCTCAGTAACCCGACAGTCTCCAAGCCAGGCGGCTCGCAAAACACCTGATGGAGGCTTTTTCTCTTTAGCTCATGACCGCGTGGCCCTGCCAGAAGGAACCGGGGGCCCAGCTGCCGCAGCATGGAGCACTCAAGCAAGATGGAGTTCTTCCAGAAGCTGGGCTACAGCCGGGAGGATGTGGTCAGAGTGCTGGGCAAACTGGGGAAGGGCGCCCTGGTCAACGACGTGCTGCGGGAGCTGATCCAGACCGGCAGTCGCCCGGGGGCCGGTGAGGGCAGCGGGGCGCCCCTGCTCGTTCCCAGGGGCTCCTGCGCGGCCCTGGACTCTGTCCAGCGCAGGCCAGCAGCGGAGCTGGAAGAGGACTGCGGAGGCCCCGCGGGTTCCTTGCGACCCATAGTGATCGATGGCAGCAACGTGGCAATGAGGTACTTCCTTCATCCTGTAGCCTCAGGGTTGGGAGGACAGTCCCTCTTTCCAGTGGTTTGGTCAAAAGAGTTTTGGGGCTAACCGATGGGCTTTTGAATCCCCGTTCCATACCCTTGGTAGCTGTGCGGCCTTTAGTTAAGTCACTTAATCTCTCTGAGCCTCACTTTTTCCATCTGTACTGTGGGTATAAAACCTTCCTAGAAGGTAGTTGTAAGACCTGGAGCCGCACCCAGTGCCTAGGACAGTGCCTGACAAAGAGGAAGCATTCAGCAGGTAGTTCCTGCTTTCATATTAACCCAGGGAGAGGCTCTCTACTGAGGAGGGCTGTGGGTAACCAGGGAGGAGCCTGGCGTTGGGCGGTGGCAGATTGTGGCTTCTCAGCTGGAGTCTCCCTGAGCAGCTGTGGGACTGGGAAAGTCACAGCACCTCAAGTGTCTTCTGGGACACAGGCTAATAGATAGATAGCTGTGCAGCCTCTCTCAGGGTGACTAGAACCAGATGGGAAAAGGTGCTTGAGTGGCAAGCCGTCTCCTGGGGGCTGCTCCCTACAGATGGCTGGTGGTGCTGTGGTTCCCCAGCTCGTCTGAGACATGCACCTGTGGCCTGTGAGCTGCAGACACAGTGGTCTGGGCATCTTTGTGTGTTTCCGCAACGCCTGCATGGCTACATTCAGCTTAGAGACAATCTCACAGTCTCAGCCACACTCCACGTGGGGCAAGGAGGAGACTGTATTCACACAAGGGCAGTTTTGTGCTAAGGGGCTTGAGTTGCAGGCCGGCAAAGGGTGGATCTGTAGGAAATCGGTCCCTCGTAGCTGTAAACAGATGACTTCTCCCTTCAAACGCTGAGACACTGGCTGGAATTGACAAAAGCTGTGTGATCCACAGTGCTGAATGAGTCAGGAGGGTGTCCGTCCTTTGGCTGGCAGATCTAGGGGCTTTCCCCAGGGGGCTGGGGCTCACTTGGAACTTGGCCCTGCAAGATAGAAGTTTGGAATGGTTCCACCCAGAATGGCCCAGCTCTGGGTACTGTCCCTAGGGGTCCCGCTCCACGTGTCCTGAGAGTATTGGGTCAAGACTGAGCCAGCCTGGTCACCGTGGGCTGCTCCTGGGCTCTCTGGGACATCAGCACACATGCTCCCGTGTAGGGACCTGACAGGTCAGCCTATGAAATCCTGCTTAATTCGAGATCTCAGGGAGAGTTGGAAGGACTTTTAAGAATTTTTAAGGTTCTGAGTGTCCTGGAAAGTCTGAGGATTGTGAGGGGGACCTGGCCTCCAAGCAGGACGAGTCCCCTTTCCTTCTGGAGGTCTGTAGAAAGGAAGCTTTAAAGGTAAAAGGGTATTTCTTTCTTTTTTTTTTTTTAAGATTTTATTTATTTATTTGACAGACGGAGATCACAAGCAGGCAGAGAAGCAGGCAGAGAGAGAGGAGGAAGCAGGCTCCCGCTGAGCAGAGAGCCCAATGCAGGGCTTGATCCCAGGACCCTGGGATTATGACCTGAGCCAAAGGCAGAAGCTTTAACCCACTGAGCCACCCAGGCACCCCTAAAAGGGTATTTCTTAAAGTGAAGACTTTTCCAGCCCTAAGACTGTACCAGCTCTGTGATCCCAAATCAGAAGAATAGCTGTGGGCTAGAAGGACTATGTCAGGTGCTACAGGAAAGTGTGGGCAGACCACGATGCATTCCAGATAAACCCATTTATTCCTACTCCCACCTCCCACTGTTGTCATCCATTTAACCCCTTCACGCTCCATCTGTGTGGGTGACAAATGAAAGCCATCACTCAAGCTTGTTATAAAGAGTGTGTCAGAGCTCTAATGCTTTCACACACTTGCTGCCTAAATAGCATCTCAGTCAATGAGTACACGTGTGTCTGTGTGAGGTCTCAGCGTGTGGACATATCTGTGCACGCACGCGTGTGTCTATACGCACACAAACATCCCATCCTTTTCCCCAGCCCCCTGCATCCTTAGTTAGGAAAAAAGATACATTGCACAACCACCAGCTGATGGGTGGGACTTGGTTTGCTCAGGGGCAAGTCTGGGAGATGCTGGGGTTTGAGGTCCTACCTCATCCCCTGCTCTTTCTCTGACGACAATGTCCTCCTACTGTGTCCTCCAGCCAGCTTCCACATAACCCATGACCTTCAGGCTCTACCCAGTCCCAGTTGCAAAGGACAGATTTCAGTGTGGGGCTCACCCTTTAGAGGCAATGGGTAGTTTGAAACCCAACATAGTGTCTAGTTATGATCTGCTAACCTCAAAACTCAGTTAACCTCAGAAACATGGTTTCTGAAAATTCTCCTTTCCTGAGGTTTTGTAGCATCACAGATTTGCCCATTCTCTGCTTTTGAAGAGGCTACAGTTTCATCTGCTGTCTGGCCCGAAGAAGTGGGGAAGGACTTAAAAGGCAGATTGGAGCACATGTCCTTGCTGCCCCCAGGAGCCAACGAGAGTCCGAAGCTCTCAGTCCTGACCTCTAGCTGAGACCTGCCCAAAAAAACTCCCTTTGATGATGGAAATTCTATACCTGCACTGTCCATTACGATGGCCACTGGACACATGGGGCTACTAAGCACTTGGAATGTGGCTATTGTGACCAAGGACCTGAATTTTAAATTTGAGTTAATCTGAGTTAATTTGAATTTATTTATTTATTTATTTTTAAGATTTTATTTATTTATTTGACAGACAGAGATCACAAGTAGGCAGAGGGGCAGACAGAGAGAGAGGGGGAAGCAGACAACCTGCCGAGCAGAGAGCCCGATGCGGAACTCGATCCCAGGACCCTGAGATCATGACCTGAGCCGAAGGCAGTGGCTTAACCCACTGAGCCACCCAGGCGCCCCGAGTTAATTTGAATTTAAATGTAAATAGCCAACTGTGGTGAGTGCCTATGTGTTGGACAGTACAGGTCTAGCTTTTCAGCTGTGTGACCTTGGAGTGGGTCACCTTACTTTTTGAGCCCTGTTTATACAATTAAGAGGTTGGATGAAATCATCATTATCAACGTCATCTTCAGTGGCTTTCCACCAGTAACATTCTAGGATTCAAGGTGATTATTTTATGCATCAAAAGCCTTTTTCTTATGAAGGAATTGCTCTTCTTCTGCAGAGGTTCAGAGAGGATAGGTTACTTGCCCAAGGTCACAGAGCTGTTAAGTGCCAGGCTCTGCTTCCAGAGCTCTTCCCAAAGTCCTGCACTTTCTCTAGTGCTGTGCAGCTTTGGCTTTCCAGCCTTTGAAAGTGTCTCAGAGTGGGAGACTGACCCCATGGACTTCTATTCTGGCGCCAGAGGCTGCCTGTGTGGACCAGAGCCCTTCCCAGGCAGGATGAGCCCCGACTTGGCTGCTGCAGACGGGTTCTGCTGGGTACCGTCACTCCCACACCAGGGGGCAGGTGGTCTTTGCAGGACCGGTGCCCAGGACGCCTCTCCTGCTGCCGCCAGCATGTTGGGAACGTGTGCCGAGGGCCGCGCATGTGCCCTGACCTGTGGCTCTGGCAGAGCGAGCAAAGACTGATTTGCCTGCACAGTCCCAGCACCTTCGAGGGGCGTGGGTGGGCCTGTGCATATGTGCACGCATGTCCATACCGGAGAGAGGAGGGCATGGGCTCAGAGTACTCGAGGGCGTCGCACTTGACCCTGAGGACAGAGTCCAGCAGTCTTGAACCAGACGGTGGCTTTCGTGGACTGTGTGTTAGGAGCTGAGCGGCTTCTCAGGGGCTGACTGCCGCCTCCTGGGTGGTGCATTCTGTAGGCAAATGCCGGAAAAGAGAGATTGGAAGGACTTCAGCTTGGGCGAAAAACCACTTGATAATTTCACATCCTCTTGCTGCCCCCAGACGAGGGTTTCATGTAAATGTGCCCTCATTTTGGGGTGCACAGGGCTTTTTGTTTGGGTTCTCATGTACATTTTTAAACTCTTGGAAACCTCAACAGAATCTGACTTATTCTGGAGTCACGAATCTTCAGTGATCAGACCTCAGACTTGCAAGGGGGTGAGGGTTCCTCAGCCTCCTCCCCCACCCCCATGGGTTACTAGTGGAGGCTGCCCTCCAAGGCTGGGGGCCACACCTGCTGTGGAGCTCCTGAGTTGCCTCTGACCTATGCTGGCTAGGTCTGCACCTGTTTCTCCTTCTCTGAGATGAAGGTGACCCCTCTTCCAGAGGCCACCCTCTCTCTTCCCCCTGACGTGAGCTGGGGAAAGATCTTTTGGGGCAAAGGCGATAAACTCCAGGTTCCAGGTGTTTGCAGTTTAACTCCAAATAAGAAACGGAATGGAAAGAGTGGCATCCCTTCACAGCTCATGCTCTAAAGGGACCACCACTTCTCTTTTCCTTTCCTCCCACACCGCCACAGCCACCGCCACCGCCACCGCATGCTCCGAGGAAGAGACTGCGACAGTGATGAGTTGTGAGGTGGGCTCCTCCCCGTAAAGGGCTGCAGAACCCTGGCTGCCCCAGGTGGGATTGTCTTGCAGACAAAGCCTGCCTCAGGCAGACGCCCACTTCCCCTTACCACCCTCCCTTTATTCAAAACCTCCCTCCTCTGTCTCCTTTTCCCAGGGCCTGGCTCTCAGCTGCCTGGGGAGCTGGTTGCAGTGACTGTTAGTAAGAGCTAAGGTCCTGGGGCGCCTGGGTGGCTCAGTGGGTTAAGCCTCTGCCTTTGGCTCAGGCCATGATCTCAGAGTCCTGGGATCGAGCCCTACATCGCGCTCTCTGCTCGGTGGGAAGCCTGCTTCCTCCTCTCTCTCTGCCTGTGTACTTGTGATCTCTCTCTCTGTCAAATAAATAAATAAATAAATAATTAAAAAAAAGAGCTAAGGTCTTTCCCCCCAATGCCAGCCTTGTAACAGCAGGTGACTTAAGCTCCAAAAGAATTACTGTCTTGCTTCCACAGGCAGGGACTGGGAGGGGCAGGAACACTTGGGATAAGAGATGGAGGCGGAGAAGTTTGCAACCCCACAGGTCAGGCTCTGAGACCTGTCATTAGATCAGGGAATTGGACACATTTCTTTTCTTTAGTTTCCTCAAGGGTACAGTGGAAGGATGGTCACTTCCTCAGGGGCTCCTTGCAATGATTGGAGCGCCGAGTGCCAAGTGGCCCGGTACATAGGACTCCACAAATATTAAACATGAGCTCCAGGAAGCAGGAATGAGGACTGTCCTGTTCACTGGTCTCTGAGGACTCAGCACAGAGCCTTGCTCACAAATCAATGTTGAGTGAGTGGAGGGCTGCACAAAGGAGAAGGTGTTTTTGTCTTCTGCATTTTCATCTGTGTGCCGAGAGGTGTGGTCCTAGGGCAACCGTGGGGCTTTCTTGCCTGACTGGGAGCTTGCCTGCTCCTAGAGAGAGGACCCCCCCACCCCAACTCATTGAGAAGGTGGTCCCTGCTTGTGGCTTCAATCCTGCCATGGCCTGGGGCTTTCTGTGGTCAAAAATGGGGCAGCCATAATGGGGTTTTGAGGTTGGTTAAAATATATATATATATGGCAAGGATTGAACAATAATAGTCTCCACATCTCAAAAGAGACCAGAAGGCTCAGAGGGGAGGTTGGAGTGGGGTGTGTGGGAATCCAGTCCTGCAGAACCACGGACCTGAATAAAAACCCTCCATTCCAGAGACAACAGCTTAAGTGACTCTAGGGTTTAGTCCCTGACTTCCCTTACCTGGAGTCAAAGCTGGAAGGGAGAACACTTCTTAGGGAGGGAAGAAAGGCTATGAGCTGATGTGTGGTTGTTCCATCTTCTCCTGGACTTCACGGTATTTGTTGCCCTTTTGAAACTCTTGGCTAAGGGTCCACCATCTTGGAGTCTTGTGTGAAAGAGGCCATGGGACCCGTTTTTGCTGCACAAAGCAGCAAAATGGTATGGTAGCGCCAATGGATGGTAGCACCATTCCTCAGTTTTTCTCTTTCTGAACTCCTGAACTACTACTCCTTCCCCTCCACGTGCCCCCAGGAGGGCCCCTGCAGTCTGCGGTCCTGCCCGTCACCAGAACTCATTGCCCTTCTCACCTTTGCCTCTTCAGAGGGACTGGGCTCAGCCTCATCACTGAATGTGGCCCCTCCAGCCACCTACCCACAAAGGTGTGCAGTCAGAAACAGACGGGAAGTAACAGAGAAGAGAGAACTCGCGAAACCATTTTAAAAGAATTGTGGCAGTGATATGTTTACTAGGGAACTGATGGAGGGGAGACCTTGTTGTGACCGACAGAGGCATGTTTGGGGATGGAGTGTCTTTAGTTGTTCACATTCCTGCTTTAATATGCACAGAAAATAGACCTTTTCTGGGGAAGATGCGATCTCTTCCCTACCTGTTTAGGTAGCAGAGAGAGCAAACCTAAATTACCAATTTGTGATATCTCAGTGTCTTCTGCCTTCTGGATGATTTGGGGTTCATTTTCCTCTCCCCTGCTCTTCTCGCAAATGGCATCTGGGGGCTTAGAGACCTGATGCTGGCTGGGAGAGGGGGGTCTGGGACCCTCACTGGTCTCTGCTAAAGGGTGGCTGGTCTGGCTTGGCCTGGCTTCTAGAAGGGTCAGTGGAGAAAGGTCATTGGTCCCGTTTGGCCTTTTGGGATGCCATCCCGGCTTACAGTTCTGTCCCCCTCCAGGGGCCTGTTTGTCCATCCCCAGGCCTCAGACAATCCACCAGGCCTGCGGGCATGCAAGGGATCCGGAAATGTTGCTTCCAGCTCACCTGTCTGCCCCTTTCCTCCAAGGCACCCTCATAGCCCCCTGGGAGGCTGCTTCTGCTAAAACCAGGATTTCTCCAAAAGCCTTCGGCCTCCTCTTTGCACCCATCCTGAGGTTTCTACCCTGACCCCTCTGCTTCTGGCTCAGGGGGTAGAGCAGTTGAGGAATGCAGGGGTGAGGGCCCTGGGAAGGACCCCTTCTTTCTCTCTCCGTCGCCTTTCTTTTTTCAGCTTCCGCTGGGGCAGAGGGACGCGCTGTCCACTTCCTCTTCCTTTCACCACAGACGTTGACATTTTTTCTCCCCTAGTGTTTGCATCAGCCTCCCTCCGTGGCCAGAGGGCTATTTTCTCTAAACCGGAAGACACTACCGATATAGGACACAAGGCCTGGTTCCTGATCGTCCCTGGAACCCAAGCAGTTCCAAGTTCTCCTTCGGTCTCTCCACAAAGCCTGACTTGCACTACTACGGATTGTGTCTCCAGAGACTCCCGTTTTTCTCTTGCAAACCCGGACCTCTCCTGGCCCCTCAGAGGAAACAGCAGGAGGGGCTGTGCCCAAGACAAACTGCCAGCATGAAAATCGGGAGCGTTGTCCTTGTCTGGTTGTAGGCGGGCTGCTGGAGGCCAGGCTTCTCAGCAGACGGTGGTCCTGGTGACCCTCGGCTCTTTGAGAACCCATACAACTCTCCCCTTTGCCCCCTCTCCATGCCTCCAGTCACTCTGTTTTCTCTTTGGTCCCTAGGCATGCCGAGCCTTCCCTGTGTTGAAGTCTTTCTAGCCAACTCTTCCCCTGGGGCTGTTCCTCCTCTAGCTGCTCAAAGGACCTGTGTCTTCTTAGCCACTCATGTACTCAACACATTTTTACTGACCTGCTACCCATCATTGGGCACCATAGCAGGTGCTGGGAATTCAGCGGGCAGCAAAAGGAGCTTGTGACTTAGGAGAGGGGGAGACCTGTTCCTCCTAGGGTGGGTGTCATCCTTCAACTGGGATTAGTCCCCCGAGGACTCAGAATAAGGGTCCGGGGATGCTTTCCTGAGGAAGTAGAGATGAAGGTGAGATCTGAAGGAGAAGGAGGCATGGACCAGGCCAAGAGGATAAGAAATATCCGGTTCAAAGGTCCTGCGGTAGGCGTGGAGAAGGTGCCTGCCAAGATACAGGGCTGCAGGCTGTGCAGGTGGCTGGGCAGGAAGCAGAGCAGAGAGTGACCTCACCTTGAGGCCAGGCTGAATGGCACCCAGAGCTAAGTCTGATTCTGCAGTCTCATTATCTCAGGTCTATCTACTTGTCTCCCTCGCCAGCAAAACATCACTGACCTGCACAGACTCAATCTGAGGCATGTTTTCAGACTTCGTGGGTCCCTCTGAGAAGCACCTGGCTGCTTCTTTCCTGTGGCTTGCACAATGCCGGCCTCCTCTGGTTAACTTCCTTGTGACCTGGTAGACCCTTTCTGTCTCTCCTGTGAGATTGCCCCACTCTCCCCGTAACCAGCTGCTGAGTCCCAGAGTGCCCCCAGACCCATCTTCCAGGCCTCTCGCTCTCCCTCCAGGGAGCCAGGCCATTCTCTCCATGCCATGGCTCCAACTGCTGTGTGAGCGCATCGCCCAGAACTCTCTTCTAGACCCCAGCTGTATCCTTAGCCTTTCCGCCCAGACCTCGCAGAGGCTTCTCCCCCTTGCTGTGTGTCCATGACAGAAATCTTTCCCTCCACACCCAGTCCTCCTCCAGAACGCCCTGGGTCAACTGGGAGCCCACAGCTGCACAAGCCAGAGTTCTGGAGGCCTTCTCAGAGCCTTCTTCTCTATCATCCTTTATCCCGTCAGTCACCACATTCTAGAGATTTTTCTCTTCTAAATATCTCTCAGGTTCACCTCCCCTTCTCCCTTCTCCGACACCACCCATGCGGTCCACGTCATTATCTAGTTTTGCTGTGATGACTGTGACAACTTCTTATCTGGGACCTCACCCCCACTTTGCTCCTTTCCAATTTAATGTCCGCTGTGCTGCAGCTTTGGGAAACATACCCAGGATTGGATCACATCTCATCACGCCGACCCCCCAGTCTTCAAATCCTTCTATGGCTTCTCATTGGTCTTAGGGGAAGAAAGCCTTCAGGAAGGCACGCAAAGCCCTGCCTGGTCTTGGGCCTCCTCTCATGCTGCTCTCTCTTTCCTGCTTCCATCGACACTTCAGGGGCATTTGGGGGGGCGCATTGGCCTCCTTACTTGGACTTGGGGAGTCCCGTAACACACTGACACCCCTCTCTTAGGACAAGAGCATTCTGCAGACAGCCACTCTCCTCCATCCCGTCTTGATCCTTACCAGCTTCAGGCGAAAAGGGGGTTCTTGTCTATTCCTCCTCGGAATGCACGTCCCTTGGAGCCCAGTACCCTCTCCACATACGTACCATCACATGCTGCACGGTGCCAGTTAAGGGATACACTTTTTGCAAAGAACGAACTATTTTTAAAATGCAGATTTTCCTGATTCCCTTTGATTAGGAGACTGTGATTCAGGATACGATCGGGGAAATCACTCTTTGGGAACCCTTCCTGTGACTCTACAGATTTCTTTGTTTTCCCTTTGTAGCCATGGAAATAAAGAAGCCTTCTCTTGCCGGGGAATCCAGCTGGCTGTGGACTGGTTCAGGGACAGAGGACACACCTACATCAAAGTTTTTGTCCCATCCTGGAGGAAAGACCCACCGAGATCCGACACCCCTATTAGAGGTAGGTGTAGCAGGGATATGCTCATGAAGTACTGTTCATCTTTCCTTGGAAGTACTCTGGACAGTTACAGTCAATTACCTACTTAGCTATTGGTGTGATAATGTCTGTCTTCCTCCCTGGACTGTAAGCTCCTGAAAGCGCAGACTGTGGATACTCACTGCCATAGCGCTGGCACCTAGCACAGTACCTGCCCTGTAGTAGGTGCTCAGTGCATAGTTGTTGAATAGATGAATAAACAGATTTTTTGTCTTTTAGTGTGAAGGATTCAGTCCCCCAAATTATTGTGTGCAGAGGGAGAGGGAGAAGCAGACTCCCCGCTGAGCAGGGAGCCTGGCGTGGGGCTTGATCCCAGGACTCTGGGATCATGACCTGAGCTGCAGGCAGATGCTTAACTGACTGAGCACCCCAGACACCCCTCTTTCAGCCTTTTTTTTTTTCTCATTAAACTTTTGTTTTAATGGGTCTCAAAATTCTGTGACAGATTTTTGGTCAAGTTGTTTCCATTAAAAAGTACTGATTTTAAAAACTAATAACTTAAAACTGCCACACACACAAAAAATAACAAATGGTCTACAAAACATTCTCCTTTCCTTCTGAAGGTTTTACGATGCATTGTTATCATTAACCAGTCTTTTACTATTAAACTTAAATGGCCAATTGACACAAACAGTTCTGCTCTTTCAGCCTTTTAACCAAAAGCTTTTGGTGTTGTGTTTAATTCTGTCCATAGTCACCAATTACCGATTCTTCTCTTTCAGATTCTCTGCCTTTCTTACTTAAATGAAATGACACTCCTGTCTTAGGGATGAAGTCTCCGTAGACTATTTCTGTTTTAATATAGACTCTAAAAAGTTCTCTTCAATTCTGTGAATGCTGTTTATTTTTGGGGGCCACTTCTCTTTGTTCACCGCCTCCCCCCCACCTCTTTCTCTCTCTCCCTTTATGTGTGTGTGCTGTTACGTCTTCTCAAAAGTCTGGTGATTTTTTTGGTGGCCAGTTTTTATCTGTGGATAAAGAGCCAGTTTGGTTAGAGCTTAGATCCATATCTATGTGATTTCCTTGTGTTTTCTCTCCTGGTGTGTGGCTCTTTCCCGCAGTGGCTGGGCGGGCCTTCAGTGTTGACCGGCAGATCTTGCTCGGGCAGACCCAGCAGACCGGAGTCTGGGCAGCCCAGTCCATGTTCACTGCAATGCCACAACCACGATGGTTTTACTTGAGGTCAGAGGCCACATGGCAAAACTCCCCCTTCCTAGTGACACCTCAGTTTCTTTATAGTGGTAAGGGTAGGGAAAAGGTGGATGCAGCAGCCCCAGGAGTAGCTCTCACCCTGACTTCTGCCCTCATCCCATTCCCTCTCCCCCGGCCTGAATGCTCTGGCCTTTGCAGGGAGAATGGCACCCAATCCACGTCAGCCTTCTTTTTAATAGTTTCTTTTCTTAAAAATTATTTTTATTTTTTAAAGATTGTATTATTTATTAGGGAGAGAGAGAGAGAGAGAAACAGAGATAGTGACAGAGATAATGAGAGAATGCAAGAGCAGGGAGGAGTGGGAGAAGCAAGGTCCCCGCTGAGTAGGGTGCCCCAGTACAGGGCTTGATCCCAGGACCCTGGGACCATGACCTGAGCCTAAGGCAGACGCTTAACCTACTGAGCCACCCAGGCATCCCTTTCAGCCTTCTACACACATTCTGGACTGTGGCTCCCAATGTGCTACAGGGTCAATTTTAGTATATATGCTGCTGAAGCGAGCACTGTGCTGCGGGGTCAATATGGTTTCCTGGATTTGCTGCTCTCCTGGTTTCTTTGCTGTTATCCTGGGTTTGCTGCTATCCCTTGGCCCATTTTAATGTGATTATGGACCCCCGCCCCGTTGTATACTTCTTCATTGCCGCTTCAATGGAACCATGAGAAGGAGGTGGGGATAAATACTTGTGTTCAGTTCTCTACCAGGAGCCAGTTACCCCCAATCATTCTTTAGTGTCTGAACATGGGCAATGGCGGTTCTCAACAGTTGTGTAATATTTAAATGGAGTACGGGTAAAGGGTAGGGAAATCACTTTGGGGTAGGGAAGGAATTTTTAAACAAGTCATGACAAGTGCAAATCTTCAGGGGAAAGATTCATAAATTTGCCTGTATTAAAATAAAAGCTTCTGTTCATTAGTGGATACCACAAAAACAAAAAAATAAAAAGACAAGCCTTGAGCTGGGAGAGGCCATCTGTCACACATTCCTGATGAAGGATTACTGTCCAGAATCTATAGAGAGCTTCTCCAAATTAATAAGACACAGACAAAGGACCAACAGAAAGATGAACTAAAGCATGAATAGGCCTTTCACCCAAGAGAAAACATAAATGGCCAATAAACATATGAAAAGATGCTCAATCTCATTAGTATCCAAAAAAATGCAAAATAAAACCACAATAAGAGGCCACTGTACACCCACCAGATTGGCAAGCATTCAGAAACCTGAAAATGCCAAGCATTGACAAAGTTTACTAAAATGCTGTGTTAGGTTGTAACTTGATATACCCACTTTGGAAAACAACTCGGCATTGTCTTGTCGAAAGTGCCTTTCCCTGCGACTCAGCAACATCGCTCTTAGAGGTACGCCCTAGAGAAATCCTTGTACCTCTGTTCCCCGGGAGACTTACATGCAGAACTGAGCGCAGTGAAACTGTGGACACTGTTCAACCTCCCTGACACGACGTTAAAGGAAGAAAGCAAGTGCAGAAGAATATGTACGCGTGATTCCATTGTGTAGAGTCTAGAGGGTCCTGATCACCTTGAACATAGTCGTTTTGGGGAATGGAAACCTACACATTTTTGAAAATGAAAAGAAGGGAATTATAAACACAAAGTTCTACACTTTGGGCTACATTGAGGGGAGCAGCAAAGTGGGGGGCGCTCACGGGGTGGGTGACTTCTCTGAGGGAGTGCTGCGCAGGTGGCTTTTTAAAAAGTACCCTTTGTACCCTCTACACATTATGTACTTTTTTTTAAAAGTCTGGAAACCATGTCATGTAGGAAAGGATGTCAACTTGAGGGAAGAAACAATTTGTGAAGGAGACGCTGATGTTCTTCCAAGTTCTGAGTAACTGTTACCGGTAGAGGGATTTTCTTTGGCATGCCCCCCAAGGCACAACTAAGGTCAAAGAGTAAACTTTCCAGGAATGTGGATTTTAGCTCCCGTAAGAGACCCTGTGCTACGTGATATGCGTTCACTTCCTCACCTGTCTACCTGGGAACTGGATGAGCTCATCCAGTTTGCTCACAGACACCGAGGATGTGAAGGAGGACTCACTATGCTCATTTTATAGGAAATGCAAAATCTGGTGTTCAGAGAGGAACGAGGTACCTAGGAGTGGGAGTGGAGACAAGAATCCAGGTTATAGGCAGTTTTTTTTTTTTTTAAAGATTTTGCTTATTTATTTGACACAGAGAGAGAGGTCATGAGTAGGCAGAGAGGCAGGCAGAGAGGTTGGGGGGGAAGCAGGCTCCCTGCTGAACAGAGAGCCTGATCCGGGGCTTGATCATGGGACCCTGAGATCATGACCTGAGACAAAGGCAGAGGCTTAACCCACTGAGCCACCCAGGAGTCCCCAGGTTATGGATTCTTTTTTGTTTGTTTGTTTTTAAAGATTATTTATTTATTTATTTATTTGACAGGGAGAGAGGGAACAGAAGCAGGGGGAGTGGGAGAGGGAGAAGCAGGCTCCCTGCCGAGCAAGGAGCCCCGACGTGTGGACTTGATCCCAGGACCCATCCTGGGATCACGACCCAAGCCAAAGGCAGATGCTCAATGACTGAGCCACCCAGGCTGCCCCCCGGGTTATAGATTTTTAATCCCAGACACCTCCTATTACATTCTTGGGTCCCTCAGAGCTGTGGTATGGGAGGCTCTATCCCGAAGGTGTCCCAAGCAGACCCCTATACCATGGGGAAAATGGAGAGTGGCTCTGAGCTGTAGGCCCAGGCAGGAGCCTTTCAGGGGGATTGCAAGTCTTCTAGGAACTGGCATTGCCAGGATTCCAGTTAAAATTCCAACGTCTTTCTCCAGAAGGACTCTGGTGACTAGTGTGGTAGGGCCTTATGTCATGTAACCATCAGAAGGACAAGAGCTATGGCTTCACTGTGCCTTCGGAAGTGATGCTGCCTTGTTGAGTACCGTTCTGGGGAATCCTGTCATGACTCGGGTCCCCTTGACCCCAGGCTGCTGGCACATGCCTCTCAGGACCCCCAGCTCCTCACTGAGCTGCCAGGCTGGGCCATGGTGGGGGAGGAGGCAGCTGGCTCAGAGAGGCTCCCTGAGCCGCCAAGCATGCTGGGGGATGTGAGGATGGATTTGGGGGTGGGAGCCCTGCCCTGGAAGCCGCCACATTCTATCTCCTGCCCGCCCTGTGGCCCCCAGAGCAGCACGTGCTGGAGGCACTGGAGAGGCAGGCCGTGCTTGTGTACACCCCATCCCGCAAGGTGAACGGCAAGCGGGTGGTCTGTTATGATGACCGCTACATCGTGAAGGTGGCCTACGAGCTGGATGGGGTCATCGTCTCCAACGACAATTACCGCGACCTTCAGAGCGAGAACCCCGAGTGGAAGTGGTTCATCGAGCAGAGGCTGCTCATGTTCTCCTTCGTCAATGACCGGTATGTGGCGGCACAGGGGGTCCTGGCCCCCAGGGTGGGGGGCTGGGGTGACCAGCACAAAGCCACTCCAACCAGCCTAAGCCCAGGGTGGGGGTGGGGCTTGCAGTCACGGGCACATCACGTCAAAGGAGAGGGCACCTAGCCCCGGAGACCGAGCCCCCTGGAAGTCATCCACTCTCCCTCCTGGGCCGCCTCATCTCTCCCTGTCCCTCTGGGTCTCCTCTCTTTCATGACCGCCTTTCCCCAGCAGGGCTATTTTGTCCCAACTGTCCATGACCTTTCTGTTCCCATGCCCGCACACAGCTAACCTGGCACTGAGTTGCCCACAGGTGGGCAAAGCACGAACTGGAGCACCATCAACATGTTGCTTTTATTTTTAAAGCGTTTACGATTGCAAGCAAGAGCACCGAAACAGGCATCCTGGGGGGGAGCTGAACTTCGTCGCACTTCCATTCACTTATTTTATGTTTCTGTCTTGTTTTGCTTTTAACTTTTGAATTACATGTGGGACTCGTCTCCATGGGGTTGTGAAGATCTTGAAATTGAGTCTGTCTCATTACCTGTTGGTTGAAATTTTCAAAAGAATCTAGTTGGTTCTTCTGTCCCCGAGGTTGGTTCCTCTGGGTCAGGTCTGCCCTGAACCAACCAGCTCTAGCTGGGGGAGGGCGATGTTGGGAACACAAGGCGAGTGCCTGTTAGCAATGCTGGGCAGGGGCTCCCAGATGGAGCTAAGGTGAGGAGAAAGCAAGGCAGATGTCTTCAGGTGTGCTAAAGGCAAAGGCCAGGAACCCGGCAAGGTGGTCATGGGTCTGTGGCTAGCCCAGGGTAGGGAGGGCACAGCAAGCTGGGACATCGCTCCCACTTCAGCAAAGAGCTAGGGCTTTGGAGGCCGCAGGTGTGGTTTCAAGCAGAGGCTCTGCCATTTGTGGGCATGCCTGTCCCTACTCTCACCCTCCTAAGCCCCAGGGTAGACGTTTGCAAGCAGCTACCCCCCAGTAACCCCCATGGTCATGTCCACGTACTCAGGGCCAGCGGTTCCCTCCATCCAGTTCAGGCCCAGAGAAATCTGGCAAGTCTGATAACAGTGGGTTCCAGAAAATCCTCACTGAGGTCTGATGGATCATGGCTGCCCTTGGCCTGGTGACAGCCCAGGGCCCCAGCCAAGTCCTTTTGACGCACTGGGCCTTGGTAAGGGCCTGCCAGAAGGTTCCCCCGACTGCCAGGAGGCAGAGCCTGCCTGTAGGAGAGGACGCCCGCCCCATTGCCCCAGGCACGTCCATAGGGCCCTCTTGGCGCAGCTGGCCGTGGCCAAGGCCTGGCGGAGAGCAGGAGGTGAAGCCTTTGGGAACCTCTAATAACTGCAGCAGGCGGCTCCCTAAGATTCTTGGTCAGCGCCCAACTCGGAGAAGCTGGCTGTGTAGCTGGGAAGCTGGGATCTGAGCCACAGAGGCTGCCTGGGCCTGGGGATTGCCCCATTCTGGGCTGGCCTAGTGTACATGGTCTGCACGGTGGGACTCAGTATGACCCTTGACTCTCAAAGGGACACCAACGTATTAAAAACAGGACCCCCTTAGCCCTGCCATTTAGGGTCCACAAGTCCTCTGGTGGAAACTTTGTATGACCTGGAAGTGCTGCCTGGAAATAGAACTATTCATATAAAAAATGGATGACACTAAAGGAGGGGAGTTTTCCTTCCAAGGACCCTTTCTCTCTCTGAGCTGTGGGCCCACTGAGGATGCATTCCCTTCGTTGGGAAACTACATGCCAGGAAGACAGGAAGGGGCAGAGAGGGGGCAGGCTGGTATCATCTAAGAACAGGGCTGGGGTCAGAGAGCCGCACAAGCTGAGACCAACCCCAGAGCTCCCTGGGTTTGCCGAGAAGGGGCTGGGCCTGTCACCGAGGCTGTGTGTGCCCACCCCCCCTGAGATCTGCTTCCTCACTGGCTCCCTGCTAGCATTTCAAACTCTATTACTATTTACTCCCCCACGAGCCTCCAGAGCTGTGGGGCAACACGGGAGAAGTGGGATCTGAGCCAGGGCTCACAGGCCCAGGGCTGTCTGCTGCCCTGTGGAGGTCTCAGCACTTCTGTTGAGGTCAGTGGGAAAGCAGTTTAGAGTTGCTTTCAGACTGAGGCCCAGGGGAGCCCTAGAGCAATGAGGCTTCCATTTCAGTGGGTCAGAATCACCTGGAAAGTTGTTAAAATGCAGACTCCGGAACCACCCGAGAGTCCCAATAAGTAGGACTTGTGTGAAGCCAGGAGACTTCGGTGATTCTGCGAGCTGGGCTAGGCCCCTCGTAGGGTCCATGAGACTCAAGGGTGATTCTGCTCCAAATGCTATACACCCTCTGGGGGGTTTTCTAGAAGGGGCCCTGAATGGGGATCCCAGGCCGGCGCCATGCCTGGTGCTGCCATTCTTGCACCGGCTGGCTGGGGCCCGCTCCCCATACAGGTGCCAGAGGTGAGCGTCTGGGGGTCCAGCAGCTGCCCCCCTGTGCTTGTTCACAGGTTCATGCCCCCTGATGACCCCCTGGGCCGCCGGGGACCCACTCTGAGCAACTTCCTGAGCCGGAAGCCAAAGCCCCCGGAGCCATCCTGGCAGCACTGCCCCTATGGTGAGTAGCTCCCCACGCCCCATGCTCCTGGGTCAGGTCCCATATCAAGGCAGTACAGGGCAGAGTCAGCAGCCTGGGTTCTAGTCCAGGGTCCACTCTACCTAGCTGTGTGACACTGCAGCGCTAATTTAACCTGTCTGGCCCGCGCATGCTGGCTGGGTTATTACAAGGATGGACAGACATCATGGGTGCCGGTGGCACTGGAGGATTTGCGAGGGCCAGAGGCGGGGGTCATACACAGGGCTAAGCCGCATCTAGGAAGCAAGGAAGCTATGTGCACCCCCAAACTCCTCCTCCTCAGTCCCTTCCCCTGGCACCCTGGAACATGTGTGGGCAACCTGCCCCACCCCTTCACGGACTTTGGTCAATGCTATCCATTAAGAATTAAGGACTTAATCCCTCAGCGCTTCTAGCAAGCTTTCACTAACTTGCTTTGGCAAGATTGTTGGGTTTTGTTTGTTTGTTTAACATCCCAGGTCTTGCTTCTTATGTCCATAGAAGTTTAAAAAACCTTAGGTGATACTCAAAGTCACTTCTTGTTAGAATGAAGGCGACCGCACATACATTCAGGTTGGCTCTTCTTCTTCTTTTTTTTTTTTTAAAGATTTTATTTATTTATTTGTCAGAGAGAGAGAGAGAGGGAGAGAGAGCAAGCACAGGCAGACAGAATGGCAGGCAGAGGCAGAGGAAGAAGCAGGCTCCCTGATGAGTAAGGAGCCCGATGTGGGACTCGATCCCAGGACGCTGGGATCATGACCCGAGCCGAAGGCAGCTGCTTAACCAACTGAGCCACCCAGGCGTCCCCAGGTTGGCTCTTCTTGATCCTGCCCTCAGCAGGGTCCAGGTTTGGGCGATACATTACAGGATCACCTTGGTTAGAACAGCCGGTAGGGAGAGGGCAATGGTTCGCAGAAGGAATGAGACCAATGGTGGAAACCGAGGCAGAACTGGAGGTGCGGTCTTATGCCTCGAGCACCTGCTCCCCACCCTATCCCGAAGGCTGGTCCCATCCACAGGGTCCCTGGGGAAGTGGAGGTCGAAGGTCATTGGATCTAGAGGTTTGGTCTCAGTTCCTGGCCAAAGGGAGTTTCCACACCGCCAATCTCCCTGCCTGACACTGAGATTACTGGGTCCAGCGCCCTACACCACTGGGGGTAGGGGGAGTGGGGGAGCGTACCACACCCTCACCCTTCTAACCCGGCCCCAGGGCACTTCTCCCCACCTCGTCCTCCCTCCCGAGGTCTCACCCCGCCCTCTACCACTGCCCCGCCCCTTCCAGGCAAGAAATGCACCTATGGCGTCAAGTGCAAGTTCTACCACCCGGAGAGGCCGCACCTGGCGCAGCTGGCGGTGGCTGACGAGCTGCGAGCGCAGACTCGGGCTTGGCAAGGCGCGGAGGCGGAGCGGCTGAGGGGCGCGCGGGCGGCGGCGGCCGGGACGGAGCAGGGGGGCCCCCGAGGCGCTTCCAACGCGGCCTGGCCGGGGGGCCCAGAGCCCGGCGCGCGCAGCCTGCCCTCTGCGCGGCCGGTGGCCGTCGTGGAGGCGCTCGAAGGTGGCTTCTCGCGGCTCGCCTTCAGCGACGACCCGGGGCTCCTCGGGACGCCTCCTCGGGACGCCGGGCTCACGCTCCAGCCGCGCCGGCCGGACTGGGTGGCGCGGGGGCCCTCTCCGACCCCGGCAGCCCCGCCCGACCTCCCGAGCCCCCGGGGCTCGTCTGGCCCGCCGACCCGGCCGCGCGGGGGGCACGTCCCCGGGGCCGCGCACAGTGAGCTGCTCTCCCAGCGCAGATGGCCCGCCGACGCGCGCGCCCTTCCCCCGGCGGCCGGCCGGTTCCCGGGCCGGTCGGCTTGGGCGGAACGCGGCTGGGGCTACGGCGCCTTCGACGGACCGTCGGGGTCGCCGCCTCCCTCCGCTCCCAGCGAGGCGGACGCGCGCGCGCGGGCGCGCATCGTGCTCTGCAGCATCTTCCCGCCGCACCAGGTGGACAGCGTCATGGCCCGGTTCCCCGCGCTCTCCGACGTCACCAGGCTCATCCTTCTCATCCAGAAATTCCAAAGGTCTGGTGCGCCTGTGGGAAAATCCTAAGAAACTCGCCAATGCCACCGCAAGTGATGTCCCAGCCTTGCCCTACCACTTGGGCAGGGCGGGTTGTCAGCCTGCTCCTGGGGCGAGCCGCTGTAAAGCCCCCTTTTCTTCAGAGATGGTCAGGGAAGCCAGCTTCCTCACCCTCAGCCCGGCTCCTGGTGGCACTCGATGACCCTCCCTGACACTGCAGGGCTTGCTGCTGGAGGTCAATAAGGTCGGCCCCTTCCGGGAGGGAGTGATGTCTTATGTGTGGAAGTCTACGGGTCCCCCGACAGCTCCGAGGGTTGGTCTAGAACACTCCATGCCTGTTTTGACAAGCTGCAGTTGGGATCCACAAGTGGGTCACAAAGGCAATTTTATGGGTCACACCAGAAAGAGGAAATCTCAGAGTGCACACCGCAAGTAATCAAGCTAGGTATGAAACTCCTGTTCGTTAGCTTCAGGTGGGTGCACCTGCATCCCCTTAGTACCCATGTAAACCTGAGGTGGGTCCTGGAAAAAAGCTTGAAAAATCCTGGTACATGGCCTTGAATTTTATTGTATCAAATCGCATTTGACATATGTAGTGGGTTGGTTGATGGAGTTTTCAGCATCTGGAGGTTTTCAGATGAGCTGTTTCTTACCTCATAAGGGGAACCTAGAATTCTAGCTTTGATGTGTGGGCTCCACTTGTCACTCTGAGATTGCGATTGCTGGTCTGTGGGGGCGGGGCAGGGCCATGGTGTCCTGAGGGTCTGCTCCTGGGGCCTTCACACCACACACACACACACACACACACACACACACACACACACACACATACACACACCCTTCTTGACTCAGGGACTTCCCTCAGGGCATTTTCTAGCAAGCTCCTCTACTGGCTGAGTTTTCTAAGCTGCCCCTCACACGTGAGCCAAGGCCCACTGAGTCAGAACTTGTGCCCAGGAACATTGAGGTGGGTCAGTGAAGAGCTGAACTGTCCTCAGTCATGGAGGTTTATTGGCCCCTTCCACCACTGCTGTTTCTTCCAGCCAGCTACTGCTTTGAGTTTTGGGGCAAAGGGACCCACCCATTTGCAATGGGCAAGAAATGAGACTGGGCTTCCCCAGTGTGGACCCTGCATCCTCAGGGGGCCCTGGCATCTCTAGGGGGCGTCTGCCATTCACTCTGGGTTACAAGTCCAGTGGGGCAGGTCTTGGCTCATTTGCTCATGAGGGCCCTTGGTGGCTAGCCATCTGGGAGAGTGTGAGGCACCTCCCAGTGTAAAATCAGCTCCCAACCCCCCAAAGTTTCCTGCAGACTGGGAGTGCAAAGGGAAACCCTTCTCAGTGCACCACTCAGCTGTGGGCATTGTTGGCACACACCGGGGTGTACCCCTGGGAGCCAGCCCAGGAGAGTCTGCATCCAGCCCTCTAACTCAGGGTCAATGCTGCCGGTGGTGATAGAGTGACGTTGTGTCTCCCTGTGACCCCTTTCATCTTTTTCAACCAGCCTTTTAGCGTGCTTGAGCCAGATCTGCTCTTTACTCCTTTTTCCCCAAAGAGGACACTGTACCCACAGTTGTGTCTTATTATCTGGGGACCTCAGTCCTGAAGAGGGTCAACTCTTTCTGGAAAAATTGGATTTCCCTCCCGGAGTTTTTTGTTTTTGTTTTCTTTTGGCAAGACAAGCTTTACGTTAGAGCTGCTTTTGTCTCTCCGATGTGTCTCCTGATGTGGCATTGTTGCAAGGCTGACTTACAGTTGGAAATGTTTAAACTGCTTCCTTTGAGGACAAGTTTGAGTTTTAGTAAGCTGTAAAGCTGTTTTATTTGGTTCACTGTAATTAAGACAAGCACAAAAACAAGTGAAGAGACAGCACATTTCAGTGTAATCCCCTTTGGAATCTTTTCTGAAGTCTTGGTATGTCTTTATGACACAAAACATGGATGGACGGGTGAGTGAAAAGTTCCTGGTCGCATAACTGTTACCATGATCCAAAAATAAATCACTTTTATCCATATCTGGACTGTTACCAAATTGTGTATCATTTTCTCCTGTGTCTGCTTCTCCCCTCAGGTCAGGTTTTCACATTCAATATTGTGGCTATGAAGACCGATGTAATGACTGCTTTATGTGGTGTTGTTCCACTGTTGGGGGTCAGAGGCTGGAATCTACCTTTTCCAGGGGAAACAGCAAGGCCCAAGGCGAGGATAGGCCTTTGCTGGATGCTCAGTGGGCTGTTTCCAGGTACATGGGCTGCTTGCCTGTTTGCCACACTGTTAAAATCCTCCTTACAGAACCACAAAGCAATCTCACAAACACCACTTCTTGTATCAAGTTGCAGCAGAACCCTCGATTGCTCAAATCTGAGCAGCTGGGTGCCGGACCGTGTTTTTGCTCATGCAGCTTTTCCAGAAGACTCCGGAAGGCATTTTGAGGCAGAACTGCAGAAAATCGGGGGCTAAAAGGGGAGAAGCAACAGAAGCCACTCAGGTCCTCATTGTTCCAGATAAAACAAATCCCAGCCCTCCGGATTTTACCTAGAACTCATGTCAGGGAGCAAAGAGCCAACTGCTAGTTGGTGCAGGGACACTCCCCATGTCTGGGAGAAGAGTCCCAGGGGGAGAAGACCATGGTCATGGTCAGGGCGAAGGGAAGAGGCATGAAGGGATGGGGGATGGGAGAGGGGACTCAAGGAGCTGGAGTAACTACTTGAAATCACAAATCCCACCATGAGGGAATGCCCAGAGCCAGGACCAGCTACATAACTTGTGGGGCCACATGTAAAATTAAAATGCAGGGCCCCTTGTTCAAAAGTGATCAAGAATTTCAAGATATTTGATAGCACAGAATTCAACCAAGCCTGGGGTCCTTCTAAGTGGGGATGTCCTGTGGGATTGTCTCCTGCTTATGAAGCTGTTTTGCTTGTTGAGAAACAAGCCAGAGAACATTCTCCATAACCAGAGTGTCAGAGTCCAAGAGACAACGTGCACGCTTCATAGTTGGGGAAGGCCACATGTGTCCGAGGCAGGTGCCTCAGAGTCCCTCAGGGACTGTCTCCTGCACCCTCCTGAGGGTGAGTGGGCCTTCCTTGGCTTTCTCTGCCCACCTCTGCTCCAAGGGGCTCAAGAGGAGAAGTGGAGGGTCTTGAGCAAACCACATACGGGATGAGCTGTGTCCAAATGAGGTCAGAAGGGGTAAATCTAACAGGGTAGCAAGTATATTGGTTTGCATGAGGCGAGCTCATGACTCACAAGCATGGCTCACAAATCAGGAGCCAGGAGACTGGGGTGGGAGATGGGGGGAAAGCAACTTCGAGGTTGGTTGGTTGCTTGAACCCTATCTGTCAGGATTCTCTCTTTGGTTTTCTTCTGCATGTGGGATTATTCTCTCCTTCTCAGGTTTTCTGTACACAGTGAGAGCCACTCTGTTAACAGACCTAGGTACATATCCTTTCAGCTAAAGGAATTTCAGCCTCAGAAGAATCTTGGGAAGAATCAATTGGCCTGGCATGGGTCATATGCCCGCCCCTGGACCAATCACCATGAGGCACTACAAAGGGGGGCAGCTGGGTCTCATGCCCCCCTCCAGCTCTGATGAGGACACGTCCTGGGATTGTCAGCTTCTGCAGGGACCCACATGGTTGGTGGGGTGTCAGAAGGTTTAAGGGAATGCAGAAGGTTTAAGTTTCCCTCAGAACGAAGAAGGGAGACAGTGTCTGGGCGACAAAAAGAATACCCAAGGCAATGTTCAAGTTTGGGCCCTAGGACAGGACTTAGGATGGCCCCACACATCCCCTCCGCTAGCTCTAGTCCTGCCTGAGAAAGGAGCTGCTGTGTTTATTCTCTTTCTCGCTTTGTCAGGAAAAACCATGTATCTGCCCATCCATAGACAACACAGCTTTGTGTGGTTGGGAGTTGGAGGGCCTGCTGTTACAGGGCCTGAGCTATCATTGTGTTAATCTTGCCAGCCCCGGAACGAGGCCAGATGAGCACTTTGGTGGGAGACTGCCAAAAATCCCTGCAGGGGAGGAAGTGGCTCTTCAGAGTCAAAAGGTGACCTTGTTCCCTTTGCCTCACTTCTGGACTGATGCCCACTAGAACTCGGGAAGCTCTCGGAATCGGAGCATTCAGCCCAACTGCTGGGAGCCAAGCTGAAAATAAGGGGCTGAGGGCTTGACCCAGCTTGTAATTACTTTGCTCTGAGTTCCTGGGGAAACAATGTCACCTCTCTGTTCTTATGTGAGGTGAGGAATGACACACCTATCGTAATGCCCAGGAAGATGCTGGATAAACAAGCAGAAAGGCATGTGAGCATAACTCAGAGACCAGTTGAATGTCATTCATATTAACTCGCTGGCTGGTGGACTGACAAACACTGACTGGCTGACTGACTGACTGACACTGACTGGCTGGCTGACTGACTGACACTGACTGGCTGGCTGACTGGCTGACACTGACTGGCTGACTGACTGACACTGACTGGCTGACTGACTGACTGACACTGGCTGACTGACTGACTGACACTGACTGGCTGACTGACTGACACTGACTGGCTGGCTGACTGACTGACACTGACTGGCTGACTGACTGACTGACACTGACTGGCTGACTGGCTGACTGACACTGACTGGCTGGCTGACTGGCAAGCAGTAACGGAACCTGACTGACATTGACTGACAGACACTGGTTGGCTGACTCATTGACACTGAATGACTGACGCTGATACTGACTGGCTGACTGACTCACTGACACTAATACTGCCACTGACTGACACACTTACTGAGTGACTCACTGACACTGACTAGCTGACTCACTGACACTGTCACTAACTGACATATTGACTGACTCATTGACACTGACACTGTCTGACTGACAGACACAAGGGGATAGACACGGGCTGTCTGACTGGCAGTGATTAACTGGTACTGACTGAGACACTGGCTGGCTGACACTGACTGCACGGCTGACAAGGTTAAAAGCGTGGTTGACACCTGTAGCTGTTGGGAGTCATTACTCAAATAGGGTTAACAAACCACAATAGTTTGGGCTTTATCTGAAGTCAAATTGATTCTTGAAAATAGTGTCTGCATGATTAAAACAAGTCACATTAAGCCTCCAAAAGTCAGTTTCACTGTTGCCATTCTTCTTGAGGTAGTTTATAGAGGCATTTCTCCCTCAAAGGAAGGATGGAAAGCACAGGATGGAGATGAGGTCCCTCTCTCTGCACCAGTGATTTTTTTTTTTTTTTCCCCCAGTCTGGCCTCTTTTCCTTTCTCTGAGAACTTCCCTAGCTCTCATTTTCTCAAAGTCCCTTCTTCACCCAAAAATCACCTACTGAGGGGTCCTTTGTGTTCCATCTCTCACTTGATTGTATGTATCTCCTTTGCTCTCTTATCCTCTTCAATCTCCTGCTCCCACCATTGTCCTCAAATCTCCCTCGGCTTCAAGGCTTCAAAGCTCTTCTTTTCCCCTTCCTCTGCAAAGTCAGCTCAGGCCATTCTAGCAATTGTGAACCACCCTTCTCGGATTCTTCACTGCTGTCTTTTCCGGGGCTGAACATTTCCAGCTGCTCCAAGGCACCCTTTGGAATGATTTTGTTGTGAATGGTTATTTGTTGCTCTTTATCAAACTCGTTTCCTTGTATTTAGGTTTCCACTTAAGACTATGCAAATTGGAAGGTTCGGACTGTGTCTTTAGCCTTGCCTTTCCATCAGCCTTGAGGCTAGTCAGTCAGGACCAGTGAGGTTATGTCACTGAAACAAAACAGTCCTGAATCCCAACAGCTAGGATTACAGAGTTGTGTGACATCATTCTTCATGTCCAGGACAGGTTAGCTGGGGCTGTGCATGCAGAGACCCAGGCTGAGGGAGGATCTGTCCCTAGCTTCCAAGTGGCCCGAAGAAGAGAACATGCTCAACTGTGCAGATTCTTAAAGCTTGCAAGCAGATATGGCATGGCAGCACCTAATTACACAGGGCAAGAAAGTGCAATCCTCCTGTACGTCTACACGTGGTGGGCATCTTTGGAGAATGGCACTGTGATCCTTTGCCTGTGGTAGGCAACAGAGAAATATTTATTAATTGAAAACGTTGAAGGAAAAAAAGAGTTACATGAAGCATGGTACATCCATTTAATGAAATATTATAAGCCGTTAAAATGATAGATCAGAGGATGTTAAGGACAGAAAATGTTGAGCATCAGAGGATGTTAAAGACAGAAAATGTTGAGCATCTTGTCATCAGGGAAACTTGTCACCAGGGAAACACAAGTCAAAATTTGTTGAGATACCACCTCACACCTGTCAGAATGGCTAAGATTAACAACACAGGAAACAACAGATGTTGGCGAGGATGTGGAGAAAGGGGACCCTCCTACACTGTTGGTGGGAATGCAAACTGGTGTAGCCACTCTGGAAAACAGTACGGAGGGTCCTCAAAAAGGTAAAAATAGAGCTACCCTATGATCCATTAATCACACGACTAGGTATTTACCCAAAGGTTGCAAAAATACTGGTTTAAAGGGGCACATGCATTCCGATGTTTACAGCAGCATTATCAATAATAGCCCAGTTAGGGAGAGAGCCTGTGTCCATCGACTATTGAATGGATAAAGAAGTTGTGGTGTACATGAAGTATAAAAGTAGATCATAAAAAGGAATGCACCATGTTTCTCTTTTGTTAAAAATGCATGTTCTATTTCTAGAAAAGAAATTCTCTAAAATGGTCGACAGAGTTTATCTGGGTGGTGGGGTTATGATTCCAGCTGACACTTTCCTCCTTTTGGTCTTTACATATTTTTTTCTGAATCTTCCATAGTTAATGGTTTTTATAACAAGACACAAATTCCTTGCTACACACCACTGCCTTTTAAAGAATGCTAAACTAGAGGCACCTGGGTGGCTTGGTGGGTTGGGCCTCTGCCTTCAGCGTGGGTCATGGTCCCGGGGTGCTGGGATGGAGCCCCGCATGGGGCTCTCTGCTCGGCGGGGAGCCTGCTTCCCCCTCTCTCTCTGCCTGCCTCTCTG